AGCCGTTAATGTCTAAACCGCTGGCAACAAAAGTGAGGACATCCCTAAGGGACCATGTCCAAATTGGGCCCATTTCGCCGTTTTCCCTCCCTGGTGTCATGAGACCTGTTAGTGTCACAAGTCTCAGGTGTGAAAGGGGAGCAGGTGTTCTCACTCTCGCTCTCTGTCCAACTGGTCACATGGCACCTCATGGTCATGAACGTGGATCTGAAAAACCGAATGGTTGCTCTACATCAAGATGGCCTCGGCTATAAGAAGATGGCCAAAACCCTGAAACTGAGCTGCAGCACGATGGCCAAGACCGTACAGCGGTTGAACAGGACAGGTTCCACTCAGAACAGGCCTCACCAGGGTCAACCCAAGAACTTGAGGGCCAGTGCTCAGTGTCCTAGTCAGAGGTTGGCATTGGGAAATAGACGTACGAGTGCTGCCAGCATTGCTGCAGAGGTTGAACCGGGTGGTGGTGGTCAACCTGTCAGTGCTCAGATCATGCGCCACACACTCTGGATCAAATTGGTCTCCAGGGCTGTCATCCCAGAAGGAAGCCTCTTCTAAAGATGATGCACAAGAAAGCCCGCATAGGGTTTGCTACAGATAAGCAGACTAAGGACATGGATTTCTGGAATGATCTCATGTGGTCCAATGAGACTAAGATAAACTTATTTGGTTTAGAGGGTGTCAAGCGTGCGTGGCAGCAACCAGGTGAGGAGTACAAAGACAAGTGCGTGGTACCTACGGTCAAACATGGTGGTGGGAGTGTCATGGTCTGGGGCTGCATGAGGGCTGCCGGCACTGGGGAGCTACAGTTCATTGAGGGAACCCTGAATGCCAACATGGACTGTGACCTACTGAAGCAGAGCATGATTCCTCTCCCTTCACACCTGCTCCCCCTTCACACCTGAGACTTGTGACACTAACAGGTCTCATGACACCAGGGAGGGAAAACGGCGAAATGGGCCCAATGTGGACATGGTCCCTTAGGGATGTCCTCACTTTTGTTGCCAGCGGTTTAGACATTAACGGCTGTGTGTTGCGTTATTTTGAGGGGACAGCACATTGACACTGTTCTACAAGCGTTATATTCACTGCTTTACGTGGAAGCAAAAACTGAGGGAGAGAATTCATACTTGAAGTGCATTTAAATGTGTTGAGAAAATGCATGTTGTAGTTATATAGATATACATGCATTTAAAAAATGCATGTGAGGAGAAAATGCTCTTTAGAAACACGTGTCTGACAAGGAAGCCCCGTAGAAATGCAGGTCTGGAAGGGACTCGGGAGGTCATCAAGGAGGTCCAACCCTCCAGGAAGCAGGAGAACCACAGCTAAAGCATCCCCAACGGAGGTTCATCTACCTTTCGGGGTCCACTCACAAATATGCTCCCCCAATCGGTTTTCGATTCCTAATCTTGCTACTGTCTTGAGAGTAAATTAGAGCAGCACTCAAGAGGCTTGAGGTTTTAAAATTCAATTTTAGTACCGTAACGCGTCCGTACAAGTTTATCGCGGTGTCCAAGGACAATTCAGTGAAAAGATTACTACTTCTTGAGGCGGTTGTGTTCTCGTCCCCATCTTATTCATTTCATATCTAAGAGATCTTCTCTCTTTTTTTCCCTTCTTCTGCATTGGGGATTCCTTTCTCATTTATCAGACACCGACGGGGGCCTTGGGGACTGCTAAGCAGCTTTGTGGAGTACACGGCAAGAATAACCTTCTACTAATTAATTATCCCCTTTGTCAATGCACACCTTAGCATGCCAAGGGGTTTGAGTGTGTCAAGAGCCATTGCCCTCAGCAGGTTGGGCTCCCATGATGAACCTGGACTCCTAGAAGGGCCACCAAAGGCCAAAGGGCCACATCCAGGACGCCAGACTAAGAGGCATCCACCTCTACAAGGGCAATGACTGCATCCGCCTAAGGGAATGGGCCGTTTCTATGGTGATGGGGGAGGCAGCTACTGGTCAGCAGTGGGAGCTGAAGGTGATGCTGGCAGAAGAGGCCACTGCAGTGACAGTCCCACTGACTCTTGTTAGTATTGCACAGAAGACTTTTGGGGGGGAAGAACAAACAGGTGGCCACTCTGATTCAGGATTAAAGTGGCCAAACACACAAGGAGTCGGAGCAAGAATCGGAGACTTGAAGTCCTAAAGGTGAGCGGATGAGTCTGTCAGGATGAGATGAGACGGCCCTTAAAGGATCGCATCGGATTGCACTGCAAAGAGTCCCTGTGCTGGGAGCAGTCTACCTTAAAACGATCCTTCCGTGTGTATATGGATTGCTCCAGCCCAGCTCTTTTTTAATAAGAAGGGGGGAAAGTAGCCTTCCTGCTGGACCAAGAAGGTCTGGCCTGGGCATGGAGCAGGGTCTGGCTGTAGGTCATCTGAATCCAGAAGAAATCTCACACCAAGGAGATGCCCCAAGAGGTCTCTCCCCCCCCCCGTCCATCGTAGGTACAATTTGCCCCATTTCCGATGTTTTAAAATGTAAACTCTTATTTTTGTACATGCAAAATTGGGGACACTATTTATATTAGCAGCAGGGGAGGCACATCTAAATGTCCAGGGAACCTACACGTCCTTGTCACTGGGGGCCCCCAGATCTCCTCTGGTACCTGCCCCCCCATCCCACCAAACCTTCCCACTGGCCTTCCTTTCTACTCGGAAAGCCCCCCCCCCATGGTGGCCATAGGGAGCATTTTTCCCTGTGCCAAAGCTGTCCTAAATGACTTCCTGATTGGAAAAAATATTCCCTCAGATCTTAAATCAACAGGGAGGGACAGGGTCAAATTGCACCCCCGTCCCCTATGGAGGATGACTCAACCCTATTTTTCCAACATTGTGTCCCCCACCTCCCCCGGGGCCCACCCCCAGAGATGCAGTTGTTCTCTCTATGGGGCCGAGAGGCGGAGTGTTGTCCACCCTTAAGTTCTACCAGAAAAACAACCTATTGAGCTCCTTGGAGATCTTCAGCTTGGAAAGGAGTCGGCTACGAGATGCTGGGACGTCCGTCCCTCCCAAACGTCTGTTACAGGGGGAATAAGAGCAACGTCTTTTCTGCACTTGAAGGAACAGATTGAGAGGACGAGGAGATGCCAACAAAACATGGGCAAGAACTTCCTTATGACCAGGGGTGGTTGGCAGTATAGCAGACTCCGCCGGAGGGTGGTGGCCTCTCCTTCGGTGAAAGAGACAGCGATTTGTCAAGAGTGTTTTTGCTCTGGATTTGTCCACTGCCTGTCGGATGGACTCCAGGACCCACCCTTCCACCTCTAGAGCTCGATAAGTCAACAATTCTGCGCCATTCTGTGTCTCTGGCTTGTTCTTCCCCATGTTCCGGTCCAGACAAAAGAAGGTCAACATCAGGTGGTCTGCTTCGCCTGATTCTGGAGCCTCAGCTCTTGGGCCCGGTGACTCTTGAGGTCCCTTTCAACTCTGCAGTTCTAAGGGGCAATGATTCTACGATCCTAAGTGATGGCGGATGTCTAATCTTTAACGAAACATCTTTTGTTTCGTGATCAGTGACTAAAAGGTTAGATTGGCTTAACTGGCAAGTCGGACCATTGAGGGATGTCTCCTTATTTATTTTTATTTCATGTATTGGATTTTATATCCTGTCCATCTAGTGGCAATGCACTTCTTTGCACCCAGGAAGGCTTGGCCGGCCAGCCAGCCACCCACCCACCAACCGCCGCAGCAGCCGCGACAACTGCTCTTACAAAAACCCATCCAGAATTGGAACAATTTGCTTATTGTGTCTATCCCTTCCTGCACAACCCCACTGTACCACCAATGACATCAGAACTGTCTGTGACTTCCCACAATCCAGAACATGTCTTCTTCTTGCCCAACCCATGCCAGGTCAGCCCCCTTCAGCAAACACTCAGTACAAGCCTTTGAAAAAAAAAGACCTCTTTCTTCTGGTTTGTGGGGATGTGTTTGGTGCCAGCAAGAGCCAAGGTGAGGGAAGAAGCATTTTCTGATTTTCGGGTCCACCTGGAGAGACCTCAATTGGAACCCTCCCATTAGGAGCTTCTGGTGTAAGGAAGAATACCACACTGTTGCCCCACTTTATCCAAGGATGGCTGTACCACATTTTTCTCTTCCTTGCGTGTGAAGACAAATGAAACCCCTTTATTTCTCTATAAATCAGGAGAAGGTTCCTGATTATCAATATAGCTGATGTACTTTCGATAGACTTCAGAAAAACATTGCCACCAGGATCTCAGGCAGAACTTGGAAAAGTAACTTTGGAAACTATAGGTACCAAAATCCTCTGCGTGCTGGCCTGAGACATTCTGGGAATCGAATTCAGGGGATAAAAAAACATGCAAGATCTGTTCCTGTGTGAGCCCTGCACTAAATGTTGTAGGGAACTCTAGATCAGACCTTCTCAACTTTTTTTTTTTGGGGGGGGGGGTGGCACGGTTGGCCATAAGCAAAATATGAAAGAAAGACAGGCTGGATCAGAACTGCATAAGTCACATCACAAACCATATACGGTGGTGTGTGAATAATTGTTTCTAGTCTGTGCCCCTCCCCAATTCAAATACGCCAGGGACTCCCAAGGGGCCATACGGCCCCTGTGAAGAATTGTTATGCCTACACAACATTTTTTTTAAAAGTCCTACAACCTGAAATGAAACAAAGGTGGCCAGAAAAGGGAGGTGAGATTTGGAAGAAAAATAAAGTGCAACAAAATTATTTATTGAATTATTTAAAATATATTTAACCTGCCTTATCCCTAAAATGGACCGATGCAGCTAAAGGGCAAATCAGGATTATGTAAGCTACGTAACGAAACTTATAAGGTGGTGTGTGAAGAAAGGTTCGCTGAGAAGGGCTGCTCTAGATCTTTCCTGGGCCACAAATGAAACTTTTCCAAGTTCTAAACCAGGGCATCAGTCCCCCTATTGAGAGAGAGAGAGAGAGAGAGAGAGGACAAAGGGTGCTTACAGGAGAAGGTCAAGGTGTGACCCACACCCATCACAGCAGGAAGCTCACCTGGGGCCGCGGGTGGCCTGTCACCAAACACGTCAGCTCCAGCGTCTCCCCTTCGCGGATGGTGTACACACGCTCGGAGTACCGCTCCTCCTCGATGTTGCACGCCAGGCCCGAGTGGATGATCCGCACCGTGGGTGGGGCTGTGAAGGCAACCAGACGGAAGAACGCGTCAGCAAAGCACTTGAGCAAAGAAGCCGGCAAGCATTCATGCATGCACGCAGGCAAGAGAACGACGCTGCCTGGCCATAGGCGGCTGTTGGTTGTGCAACGGAGAAGGATAGGGACAAGGGCCACCGCTCTGTCCAACGGGCACATCCAGAGCAGCGGACAGGACCACCCCTTGAGGGGGCGACACAGGGAGTGCCCAAGGGACGTGTCAACAAATCCCTGCCAAAACTCCATCAGATGTCACGGCACGAAAGACGCAGAAGCCCTAGCCGTTTTCCAATGGAGATTGGGTGCCGTTCACAAGGGGGATGGAAACAGATGTGCTGACGAGGCAACGAAGGGGTGGCCATGGTTGGCCAAGGTCTACAAGATCTTAAGTCCCATCTCCTGCAGGCAGGCTCTCTCCTGGTAGCTTTGGGTTCATGAGCTTCCTGGAATTAGCATGACTCCTACCACCTGCTTCCAGGACTCACAAATGTTGAGGACATCCCCTGGGTCTCGCTTTCTCTGTGAATGGGCCCCTCTTTCTGAAGGCTTGGACAAAACCCAAAGGAAAAAATATATTCACCCTGCCATATCCTTAAAATGGACCCGATGCAGCTAAAGGCTGAATCAGGATTAAGGGAGAAGGAGAGGTTGAGAACAAAAACAAACAGTTGATGAAGCCCTCTCTCGCCAAGCCCACTGTGATATCACACGGCCATTGTGGTGACCTTCCCCTTTTCCAGCGGTCAGCAAACCCTGATCCTTTGCCTCCCCGGGCTCCTGCCACCTCCATGTTCGTTGTGCAGTGTACAACAGTGGAACCCGTGGCCTCGGGAGTGGGTGAGGGCTCCAACACTGGCGGCATTCAAGAAAAAAATTAAGATACTGTAGCCACCCAGCAGATAATGCTTCGATGGTATTCCTGCCTTGAGCAGGGGGTTGGACTGGATGGCCTCATGGGCCCCTTCCAACTTCACTTTTCTATGATTCTATGTTGCCTCTAAACACAAACCAAGACTCACAGCTCCAGTTTCCGGCCCCGTCGTAGTCCCTACCAAGGCTGAGGCATCCTGCAAGGACCTGGCTTCTCTCTCTCTCTCCCCCGCTTCTGTGCCTGCACTGAAATCGGAAGCAAAGGGCCCTTTCAATGGTGTTCCTCCTCTTTCCTGCATCCCTTACCTCCTCTTCTTCTTCCCAGCCTCATGCCTCGATAACCCACCGTCCCCACAGAAACTCCCAGGGGAGGGAAAAGCTGCAGAACATCCGGGCAGGAAGGGTATGGTGTGGAGAGGGTCCATTTCTCTGGGAGGACAGGGTTGAGAACCTCGCTCTACAGGGAGAAAAATGCATGGCTGGCCAGCAAGGACTTGCCATGGGACCATGGGATGCTAGCCCACGGAGGAGGGGGGAAGGGCACAGAGTGGAGAGTCATTGAGAAGAATATGGGCCATTGTTTGGCCCTCCAGATGGGAAGAACGCCACTCACTCACTCACTTTATTTCATGAATGTATATTCCACTGACTTAGTATGAAACGCTGCTCGAAACCGCTTCCAACCAGACCACAAAGCAATAACCCCAAGCGCATGACGAAGCAACAGAAGACATTCCTAAGTACAGATGTACAATGAATGCACAACAACATTTGGGAGCTAGAGCAAATAACGATCATGCTATCGCCATCCCGGAAAAGCTGGAGGTCGCTTGGACAGAGGAGCTCTGAACCAAGAGCAGGATTTGCATCCCAGACCTTCAGCACAATATGGAGCTCCATGAAAGGAACAATCCGTAGGTCCCTCCCCAGTCCGAAACCCACCGCAGGGGTGCGAATCTCTGTCTCGTCCTAGCCAGTCAGGACGAGGAACTGAAACCACCAAGGATAGGGTGCCATTTCCTGACACTCTTGGTCCTGCTCGGGCAAAAAAAGGTGTTTCGTGCAAAATCGACCCCTTCTTTGGTGGAAAACTGTCCAGTCCACCAAAATCATGCAATTGTCTGAACGGCCCTGAAGCACTCGGTAGGTGTTCTTCTGAAGATGCTGGTGTGGGGGGGGGTGTCACAGGTATGTGATCTCACAAAGGGGAAAAGGGCACTACCCAAATTTCAAATTAGAAAGACCAAGGTGGACAAGGGAGGAAAGCTCCTTGTCTCACTCTCCATTGGAGGGGCTTGAAAGTCCTCCTCCAGGTTACTTCTGCAGCCAAGAGAGGCTCAAAAGACAGGAAGGAGGAAGGTAAAGAGTCCGTGTCTCCATTCTTTATCTGCAGGGGTCCGGCAGGAGGGAGATTTCTTGTTTCCTGCTATGGGGAAGGAGAGCAGATCCCCAGGCTTGTCCAGAGGGGTCTCCTCCATGCAGCTGAATGGGAAGACCCTTTCAGGTGGCAGGCGGAGGACTTGTGAACCGCACGGCTGCTTCCCGGCAGGCAAAGGACGAGCAGAGGAGGACCCATCCATCCGCTTCGCATAATCTCCAAAATCCCCTGAAGGAAACTTCACATTTCTCTAATTTTCGCTCAGGATCTTTTAGCGTTATCTTCCAAAAATTAACTTTTCATTATAGTTCCATTTTTATTGCGTCTATATGTAGCTTGAAATGTATTTTCTCGCTCGTTACGCGTATGAAGCACTTTAATGAGGACAATAAAATCAAGCCATGGACACAAAGGGACCAATCCTGTTTTCTTTTTCTTCTTTTTTTCACCACCAATCTTGAAAAACCCGGCTGCTGTCCATGCGATGGACCACCAGATTACAGATCAAGGCGGTTAGGGTACATGTCCTAGCATCGTTAAATAAAACAAGAGTCCTCCATACACCTTAAGATTGTGTCTGAATACTAGTGGGGAAGGGGGTAGTTAGCAGGGGAACTTTAACTAATATCCTGTATCCCACGTGAGCATCAGAGAAGTGATGGATTGCAAGGGAGGAGACAAGAACAGTTAGATTGCTCAAGGGTTTAGGTCTCTGACTGCAAGCCAGAGGTTGGGTGTTCGATTCCCCACTGTGCCTCTTTGAGAAAGGATGGACTCCATGATCCACAGAATCCCTTTTATTAATTTAGAGGGAGGATTTGTATGACATTTCACTTTTTCTCTGCAACCTCCATTTGAACCCATAATCAAGTTCAAACATGTTTATGAGTCATCAGGCTTTTCCCACTGGATTATTCATAAACATGTTCAAACACAGGTTGCAGGAAAATCATAAACATGTTCAAACACAGGTTGCAGGGGGAAAAAATCAAGGTACTGACTAGAGGGGAACTAGCACCTCATGGGATTTGGAAACTATACTTCTATTAATGCAGCCTACAGTTTTTGTCTTTTTTTGTAGCCACATCACATTGTTGGCTCATATTTAGCTTGTGATCCACCACAATTCCAAGATCCTCCTCATTTGTAGTTTTGCTGAGCCAGGGATCCCCCGTCATCCTCATCAGAATATCATGGGGCACTTGGTCAAAAGCTTTGTTGAAGTCAAGATATGCTACGTCTACAGCATTCCCTCTGTCTATCAGGGAGGTGACCTGATCAAGAAAAAGAGATCAGCTTCTAGTTGTTGGCTTCTAGTTGTTATTGTCTTTTTTTTTTTCTTTACAAATCCATGTGGGCTTCTAGTTGTTATTGTCTTTTTATCCCCTAGCTGCTGGCACAATGACCACTTTATTATCTGTTCCAGAACTTTGCCTGGGATTGATGTCAGACTGACTGACCTGTAGTTCCCACATTCCTCTTTTTTTTGCCCTTTCTGGCCTGCAGTTCCCAGGTTCCTCTTTTTTTTTGCCCTTTCTGAACAGAGGGACAACATTGGCCCTCCTCCAGTCCTCTGGCACCTCCCTCATTTCCCATGATTTCAAGAAAACAATGGATAGCGGTTCTGAGAGTTCTTCAGTCGGTTCCTTCAGTACTCTCGGAAGCAGTTCATCCGACCCTGGAGAGTTGAACTCGTTCAAGGCGGTGAGGTATTCCTTGACTATTTCTTTATCTGTCTCCAGCTGCAATCCTGTCTCCCCCCCACTTGCACTCCCAGTTTGTTTGGAAGTTCATCGTCTGTCTTGTGGGAAAAGAAGGAACTAAAACAGGAATTGAGCCCCTCTTTGCCTTTTCTTTGTCCCCTGATATCATTTTTCCATCTCCATTGAGGAGCTGTGCCACGATGTCTTTTGTTTGGCTTTTGTTACTCATATAACTGAAGAATGCTTTTTTTATTGCTTTTAGTGTCTCTAGCTAACCTCAGCTCATTCTCAGCTTTTGCCCT